AACCCCAAAACCCCAAAACCCCAAAACCCCAAAACCCCAAAACCCCTTGATTCAATTTGCGATCAGGAATCGTATTAAAATCAAAGTATAAGTGAATTAAATAATGTCATATAAGACTAACAGTTGGTTTACTATCAAGAATATTGACTTCATTTTCATGAATAGATTGCTCATCAACTTCGTGCACAACTCGGTCAATTTTAAGCATAGTCACTTGATGTCTGTAACCCATATGTCTTTGTGAATCCTTTCTTCTTCTTTTCTTAAAGATTAAAGTTTTATCAGTGTATGATTGTTCCTCAACTGTTGCAATAACTTTTGCTTTCGACACTGTCGGTCTTCCAATGCAAGTATAATCTTGAGTGCCAATTAATAGGACCTCATCTAACTCGATTTATTGTCCTACCTCAAAATCTAGCTTCTCACTCATTAATCTATCATCTTTTGTCACTTTATATTGTAAACCCTTTATTCTCACAATTGCAAAGATCTTAGTTGGATTTGGGGGGAGCTATACTCCCTCTTCTTCGTTATGAACGTACAAAGTTGATACTGGATCTTCTTCATTGGGAACTACTGGATTAAGTAGCTTCTTCTGTTTTTTTATCTATTTTCTTTCTAGTGGTTTTTGCCATTAATTCATAATTCTCCTGTAGTGTTTGTTCTCTGTCATGTTTCTATCCATTTTATCAATACTCTACTTATCTAGCTGTCTGAAATATTCACTGAAAAGGGCTTATTAGGTTGCTGCTATTGTATTTATTTGAGTTTAGGCAAATGTCTTTGTAAAGAAAGCTGGCCTTAGCTAAGATTAAAGTAATTTAAACATATTGATGATTATTAATAATTATTTTAATTTGTGCCGTATATAATATATTATTCTAAAATCTTAATGTTATCTTAAGCATCTAAAAGAAGATTTGCTACTGTGGTAATTAATATCTCAATGAGCTCATGTATATCTTTAGTATAAAAACCATATCAATGGAAAGTGGGTCGAGTCAAAAGGCACACAACACTTTGATATTATCAATCCAGTATGATCACCATCCATCCCTTAATCTCTTATCAGGCAACACAAGAACTTATTGCTAAAGTCCCTCAATCAACTGATGCTGAATTCAATGAGGCATGTGATGTTGCATCATAAACTTACAAAACTTGGAGAGAAGTTCCAATCTCAACAAGAGTTAGATATATGCTGAAGTATCAAGAGTTGCTTAAGCAAAACTAAGTAATATATTCTCACTAAAATAAATATTTAATAGGACAGAATCGCTGAAGCTATTACATTGGAACATGGTAAATCCCTCATTGATGCCAAGGGAGATGTTTTCAGAGGTTATGAAGTTGTTGAGCATGCTGCCTCTTTTACCTCATTAGCTCAAGGAGAGAGTTTAGAAAATGTTGCAAGAGGAGTTGATCTTTATAGTTACAGAGTCCCCTTAGGAGTCACTGCAGGTATTTGCCCATTCAACTTCCCAGCAATGGTTCCATTATGGATGTACCCACTTGCTATTACACTAGGAAATACTTACGTTTTAAAGCCATCTGAGAAAGTTGCAGGAGCTGCTAATATTCTCATCGATTTGTTAAAGGAGTCAGGTGTGCCTGATGGAGTAGTGAATGTTGTTTAGGGTGGAGCTCCAACTGTAACAAACATTTGCACTCATAAAGATATCAGAGCAATCTCTTTTGTAGGTGGTGACAAGGCTGGTGAGTACATATATACTACTGGTAGTGCTCACGGAAAGAGAGTCTAATCCAATATGGGAGCAAAGAACCACGCTATCGTGATGCCTGATGCTGATAAAGAAGACACAATAAATGCTCTCATCGGAGCCTGCTTTGGATCTACCGGATAAAGATGCATGGCTATCTCTGTTGCAGTCATTGTAGGAGATGCATAGTAATGGATCCCTGAAATCGTCGAAAGATCAAGAAAGTTAACAATTGGACCAGGTAGTGGAAACTACGATATCGCTCCACTCATTACCAAGGAATCCAAGCAGAGAGTTGAAAACTTGATTGGAACTGCAGAGAAGCAAGGCGCAAAGTTATTGCTTGATGGCAGAGGAGTAGTAGTAAAGGGATACGAAAAAGGAAACTTTGTCGGTTAAAGTGTGATTGATCATGTTAGTCCAGGCATGTCAGTATATGACGAGGAAATTTTCGGACCTGTTATGGTCATTGTTAGAGCTAACACTCTCTAAGAAGCAATTGATTTGATAAACAGCAATAAATACGGAAATGGTACAGCCATTTTCACCAAGAATGGTCATGTTGCGAGAAAATTCTAACATGAAATTGAGGCAACTCAAATTGGAATAAATCTCCCTATTCCTGTACCACTTCCAATGTTCTCTTTCACTGGTGGAAAGGGCAGCTTCAGAGGAGTAAGCAATTTCTATGGAAAAGGAGCAGTCTCATTCTATACTTAATGGAAGACTATTACTGCCAGATGGAAGGAAGAGACCGATGAAGCACAAAAGATGCAAACTCATTTCCCAACTATGAAATGAAGTATCTATTTAAATACTTTATCGCTATCTTCATATTAAAATTCTTTTTTTCAATTTACAACGTTTTATAAGTATAAACTAAATTTTAAGGGGTTTTGGGGTTTTGGGGTTTTGGGG